CGCTTCTATACTTAAATTCCTTTTTATACTTCCATAAGAGCCTTTACTTCGATATTATAATTTTGATGATGCGTGACACTTTCGTCTCATTCATTTGGACGTATTTTAAAGTGTATTTTCAGGCAATGAAATGTGCATTTGCTCGACTGAGGCCCCATTATCTGAGTGTTTGTAAGCCGGATTGGCAAAAAATGAATTGCACCGATCCAAATACATATATCACAAGTAAACAGTTTTTCGACTTTTATATTTTTATGTGTTTTTTGCAGCTATGCAATGCGGGAGACTCATATTTATAATAGGTTGTCTGTGTGTGTTTGTGTGTGTATGCGCAGGGACTCGGTACCGATTTTTCATCTCGAGACCGGCAGAAGCTACAGGGCTGGAACTTTGGAGACAATCTACATGCACATATGGGCCCCATCCCCAAAATGGGCGGTCTTACCCGTGTGATACCAGCGCAAGAGCCCGCCAAAGTTTTTCACGGGTAAGTTGCTAACTTGCGAACCAGAAAAGCTAGAAGGTTGAAATTTTAAGAGGATGTCCCCTATCCAAGTAGGTATTAATGGGCTCAAATCCCGCCCCCGAGTAAGCGTGGTATCCGCACACGAGCCTGCCAAAATTTTTCTCGGGTAAGTTGCTAACTCGCGAACCAGAAAAAAAATTTTAAGAGGGTGTTTCCTGTCAGTTCTGGCGGGCAGTCTTGATTTGTTTAGCTAGAGGCATTTGCCGAAAAAACCGATGTCGGTAGTGACAAAAACTGCGAGGAATTGTGCAAAAAACGCATCTTCGCACAGGCAGTCCGTGCGTTGGCCAATTATTATCTTTCCTAACAGGTAAGATCTCCTCTTCATGGTCTGGGAGCGACAACACCCAGAAGTTATTTAACACCCACAAAGGACATCACAAAACGCTGAAGCGGTGCACTTCTGATGAAGTATCCGCGCAGAGTTTATAAGCCCTTCAGAAGACGAAAGGATTCAGACTGGCCATCAAATAATAGAGCATTGCACAGAGCATCTGGAGAAGTTGCCCGTTGTCGGAGAACCAAACTATGAAATGTATCTGATCCTTTTTTGGAAAATTTTTATTGCTTGTTTGAACAGTCACTGAAAATTATTTTCATCTGTTTTGTATTTATTAATCTTTCTGATTTATATCGTATTTAGGCTGAGGTTATCAATTACATTGCGGCTCCTAATGGTATAAAGTTTTTTTTTTTCACACCTCCCACTTCTCTCCTTATTCTTCTTTCTCCTTCTGCCTCTGCCTCTCTCTTTCTTAATTCACACCTGTCTTACAAATTCGGCATATAAACTTCCAGTGTATGGCAGTAGGAGGCTGTGCTGATGATTCCCACTCCTGGCCGCACGCTAAGCTCTGTCTGTGTTTACAGTTAAGGGATGAAACACAAGCAGCACCCGAATATGTCTTCTTGCACATGACACTTAATCCAATCCCTTATCTCCTACTATTTCATTCTATGTGACTGATATATTCTTTTGCAAGATGAATAATGATTACTTGCTCTTTATTTTAATCAAATTATTTAATTCAAGGTGCAAATTGTACGGGAACAGATATGCATCGAATACGCGTCGGGCGTCAGAGTTTTCCAAGTGGACATTCAGCAGCAGCTGCGTTGCTTTTCACATTCCTCTACTTTTATTTAAAAGGTTTGCAAGCACAGCCATGCGTTCAGCTTTTTTAACTGTTAGTTTTCAAAGCGTTGGCAGTTTTTTTGATTTCTGAAATGCAAGTAATCCGTTTTTTAGGTCTTACTGATGCAACGGGCAGTAAGCTGTTACGAGTAATACGTGCAGTGCTGTTAAGCGTGGTCGGTATGTGGGCAGCTTTGGTGATGACAACACGTGTCACCGATCACTGGCACCATCCCAGTGACGTATTAGGTGGAATTTTGCTAGCTGCCGCTTGCATATACATTCCGGTTCGAAGAACTCATTCCTCGCTGGTTTTCAAAAAGCGAATGCTCAACAATGCACACAGTGCCTGAATCATTCCGCTTTTTTGTTTCTTCTTCGGTGATCTGTTCCTTCAAAGTGGTTTGTGATGTTTGCTCTGGGGCAGATTTCTTCCATTTCCTGCATTTAAGTTTATACGATTTTTTTTCTCATTTCGGTTGCATTGTTATCGTTACAGTTGATAAATCGCGATTAAATGTACCAGTGAATTTGATCTTTGTGCCAGTGAATCTTACAGGACTTGTACCACTCTTATACGCTGCAGGTGAAGGTCTGATGGTAACGAATTCTCTTCATTTTTACTCATTTTGTCATTTCTATATGCATGTATTGTTATTGTCTTGATCCAGGAAATTATGCGATTCTGCCATTGGCACGCCGTGTGTGTTTATCTTGTACTAATTGCTTATAGAGCCAAAAAGTCAAAACTCCTTCTCTGTATGAGGGCACTATTCGGGCTACTTCTCGGGAAGTAGCCCGAATGGGGTAGCAAATGCCAACAGCAACTATCCACTGGCAGGTCTGTCGATAGCTAAAGAGGGATCTCTTTCGGGAGATTGCTTTCGAGTAGCTGATGGCGAGTTTGATTCCCTGGCGTACGCTAGTACCATTTTTCCATCGAAACGAATCATGGAAGGATTGGTTTTCCCATTGGTTAGATTGTTTCGTCGATCCTCTGCGCCATGCCTGCTGTATTCGCATACGTAGCGGGGTTTTTAACTTTTTTTCATTTTTGGATATTGCTGGTTTGACTGGCACGAAGGATGTTATAGATAGATATTTCTCAGGGATGAGCGTGATCCAGAAGCTTTCCCCAATCTTTTTCCTCCCACCATAGGTACGTAGACAGTTTGTTTTGCAATCGATTTGAATGCTTGTTGAAAAATTGTGACTATCAGAAATTGTTTAAAAAAAAGACACATATGTGATAAAAAACACTTTTCGCATTACCGATCAGTTTTGCATTCGAAAAGATTATCCAGAGATCCATTCTTATCTCTGTTGATGCTCGATCTGTAGCCGGACGATTGCCACACTCCTAGCCAACTTTTCTCTCATTCTTCCGAGCAAAGAACATTCCTCTAAAATTTCAACTTCCTGGCTTTTGTGACGCCAAGACTTTCATGTGACTGTACATGAGAGTTATGCATACGCCGGGGCTGAATTTAAGTTCCCGAGATCATACGCGGGTCGGAGAAATCCTTCTAAAATCTCAGCTTCGCCAATGACGTTAACTTATCTAGGCAAAGAACTCGATTTTAGGATTTTCGCAATTTTTACTCGAAAAATGAGAGAATATTCAGCGGTTAACTTCCCCTTATGACTGAGTTGTTGCATGTAAAGAATAAGAAAAACTGACCGGGGCAAACCCCCCCTCCCCAACCCTCACCACAAACGCTTTCCCCTTCAACCAAGGTAGGTGTCAGCTTAGTGTCGTAATCGGCTTAGCCTGGTCGTTGCAGTTGTGTCTCTCGGATAACAGCGGATGGCATCGTTTGATCCGGTGGAGCTCGCTGAAGCGATAAGGCATGAATTCATTGTGGACGATGATTCGGGCTTATGCGCCAAAATATTACGCCATCCTGCACGGTACAATCTTTCAGATTCTTTTTTTTTGCGTTACTGGTTGTTGTTTGCATGAGATTTTCTGTTCTTGTTCTATGTATCTTTGCTCCGAGGATAGTTGAAATTGACTGTTTGAATGCATAGAAACAGTAGTACCATTAACTCTTGGAACAGGATTGTTGGAGGGTTAATTCTTTTAGAAAATCAAAGCCAGGTGGGTTGCCGTTGAATTTTCGCTCGGCAGCTGATTCGGACTCCGACAGCGACGGGTATTCTCCGTGCTACCTGGTTAGTCGGGTTTCTTTTTCATGTATCTACTGTTGCGATTCGTTTCAATAGTAAATTGGCACTGGCATATGCCAGGAAATCAAACCTCGGCTTGTTACTGTTGGCATTTGCTACCACTCGGGCTACTTCCTGCCTATCGCTGAAAAAGAAATACGGAGGGTGGTTTGACTTTAGCAGTTTCGTCACTTTTTTCTCGATTCTGGTACCGTACAATAAATTGTCTCGGCCGGCCATTCTTGAGGGCCTAATTATTAATCATCTTTTGAGAATCTAATTAATGATCATCTTCTAACCGGTAAAGTATCTCATTTTGTTCTAAA